TCTCGGGAGGGAAGCTGGTGGGTCACGAGTGGGGATTCAGGAACAACAGGATAAACACTGTGCTGAGGGGATGCAGAGAGAATGACGGGGATGCAGAATGAGTTTGGAGGATACAGGAGGGGCTTTGTGGGGTGCAGGTGAGAGGATGTCCAGACGAGGGTCACCTCAGGGACTGAGCCCCTCCTTAGTCTGCAGGCTTTAGACACACCAGTTCACATCTCTGTAGTGTTAATTGGTGAGTTAATTGGTGAGTAACATAATCTAATTAAGTGATTAAATGATCAGCAGCGAATTCACTAATAACCACCCTGGTCATTGCATCCTGATCCCTCTGTTATTCCCTGTGTTGCACAGAATTACTGAGCTTCAGTTAATAACTTTTGAGCCATCTGGATCACATACAGCTGCTACTGTGTTATGGTCCTTCCCTCCGCCCTTGCATACTGCCTGGGATATCCCTCCTGATTTTTCCATGGGGGTGTGGGGGCTCCAGAAGAATATGGGAGTGTGGTTGGGACAACAGTATTGGGGCACCAGCCCCAGGTGCCCCATGCTCACCCCCATGCTGATGGGATCTGTTCCTCACCCGAGCCAGGTCCCGCTGGGTACCAGCACATCCCTCCAACACAGGCAACCCAGCTCGCAGTTTCTCCCAGGGACTGCTGGCCTGGCCATGCTCCCATTTCCTCTGTGTCCCCTCTTGCTGACCCCATGAGCACTCGTGTCTCCTCTGCAGGTACCAGGGCCATGGCTCCTGTGGGGCCTCTGCTCTGGCTTGTGACTCCCTCTAGGCAGCTTCCAAGGACACCTGGGTGTCTCTGTGTGACCACTGAGGTCCCTGCTCTGTGTCTGCTCCTCTTAACTTGCCACACCAACACCAACTCTATGTTTCCGTGCTGGAGGTTTGTTCCATCAGTCTGACAGTTCAGTGCCAGATCCCTCTGCTATAGCCTGTGGGAGAGCAGTGAACCCCTTGGGAAAAGCCTCCAGCCCCATGTCACCTGCCAGCCGCTGAACTTGGGTACATTTAACAGCCAGCGGCATCGCTCAGTTTATTCCCACGGAGGTGTTTGTTCGTTTGGGGGTTGCTTGTGCATGTGCTGCCCCAGTCAGGTTTTCCGAGGAGGCACCAGAGGGTCTGGCCCCAGGTCCTCGTGCCCTGGATCCCTGAGTTCTGCTGGTGCATGATGAGGCTTGGCCGCAGGAACTGGCTGTTCCTGTCTGTAGGGTTGAAGGGATGCTGTGTTCCTCTTTCTTTGCCACTTATGGAAGCCAAACGCAGTACTGACCATCAGTCAGTGTCACAAGCTGCATACCTTGGCCCAGTGCCCTCCCCATTCCTCATTGCTCAGGAGCTTTTCACTCCCCAGTCCCTTCTCCTCAGTTGCTGGCTCTAGGCCAGCTGGTAGCAAACACAGCTCATGGCAAACCCAAAACTCAGTTTACATCAGCAGTTCTTGCTTTGCAGACACTACGTTATTTTATCCTTCTTGCCTTCAGAGGAAAGGTTTCTATATGTGGGAATGTGTACTTTAGGATTAACCTTTTTGGAATTTGGTTATTCAACACGGCTGAGAATGCTCTCACCCATCCCTTGCCAGCTGTGTCCTGCAGTGTGACAGCTCTGCTGTGTAACAGACAGGTGCTGGCCCAGCTCACCCCTTTGTAGCCCCTCTCTTACTGCTGGCTGTGGTCGCCATCGCCCTCTCAGGCTGGAGCCCCTTTCCCGTTGCAGCACACCCTTCCCTGTCTCTGAGCTCTCAGTGTCTCTTTGCCTTGGTCCTCTGCTGATTCCTCCTGTGGAAGGTGAAAATGCTTCCCAGTGCTGTGCATTAGCACAGCTGTTGGCTGTCTGGGCTGTCATATTGGTGCTCCCCAGACCACACAGGCCAAGCTGCTCCTCTCACTCCTACAGCCCCCACCAGCTCCTGCTTCTGCCCCAGCTCTGACAACTAAAGCCCCTAGTGGTCTGTCCCACTGCTCCCCAGTGACCCCTGGCTGTAACTGGGATCTGGTGCTGGCATCGCCCTACCACCGACGCTCGGCTTTTCCCTATTCCTTCAGCATCTCAAGCTCTGCCAGCCTGGATGGTGCTGGGAACTGTGTCATCCCATGGCTGGCACTGCCTGTGCCCCCCATCCCACGGTTGGCAGCACACAGGGAGACACAGTTTGCCCACGTAGGGAGGATTCACACACCTTAGGGTGTGTCTCTGGATCCTGCCCTCATTTGTGCCCACCATGGGAAACATTTGTGCTGGCAGCTGGTGCCTCCCCGGGATGAGCCCAGACTTGTCCCTGGTGGGATCCCTCCTGTGCTTCGAGACTCGGGGCCAAACTGATTGGTGCTGCTGGTTGCTGGCTCAGCATGGCCCAATGAGCTCTGCAATCGATCCCCTGCTCATTGCACTGACTCATAAAAATATTGATCAATCTGAAGTTGTGTCATCGCTGCACAGCACACACAGACTCTTGTCTCACATGTTGTGCCATGCCTGCTGCAGCTCACCAAGCTGCAGGGCATGGGGGCACCCTCCTTCCCTGCCCAACCTGAGCCCTGTGCCTCTGCTGCACCCCCCTGGCATTGGGTGGTCATGGGAGGCTGGGTCTGTGTCACTGGCAGCAGGAAGGGCTTGGTGGGGAGTGTGGGCAGGAGGCACGAGGGCTGGAGGCAGTGGCATATGGGGGTATCTGTCTGTCTGTCCCTCTGTGTGTCCCTGCAGGCATGGGCAGCTCGGCCACGGGACGCTGGAGTCGGAGCCGCAGCCACGGCTGGTGGAGGCGCTGGCCGGGGTGCCCATGTGGGCAGTGGCAGCTGGCGGGTGGCATTCGGCCAGCGTTAGTGGTGAGGGGCTGGGCCTGGCGTGGGAGGTCAGGGTGCTGGTGGCAGCATACGGCCCTGGTGGGACCTGGCCCAGGGGTGGGAATGGGGTGTTGGTGCCCCCACAGCACCCAGCGCTGCTGCTGAGGGCTGAACTCTGCCTGATGCATTTCCCCTCCACCCTGCAGAGGCAGGAGACCTGTACATGTGGGGCTGGAACGAGTCAGGGCAGCTGGCTCTGCCCTCCAAAGCGCTGGTAGAGGAGCGGGCTCAGGATGATGTGTGCACAGGTGGGTGCTGCTGGCTGGGCTGCGGGCAGGGGGTGCAGGGTCTCTGCACGGCTGAATGCAGGGCCGGTGCAGTTCAAGCCTGCAGGAAATGCTGGTGGTGCCCAGTCGCTCCTGGGACCTGAGAGTCAGCTCTTCAACAGGAAATGCCAAGCTGGTGCCCCGCCAGGAGCAGTCAGCTGCCAAAGACACCCCATTCATCTCCATCCAGGCATTCCCAGCGCTGCTGGATCTGCCACAGGACCTGGAGGTCAGTGGGGTCAGCTGTGGGTCCCGACACACAGCTGTTGTCACACGTGAGTGCCTGGTGGGGCTGGGGGCAGCACCCCTCGGGGTGGGGTGGTGGGCTGTGGGGGCTG